TTAATCATTTTCCTCCATGAGTTAAGCACTACAGGTAGTTGTTACCCATGCCTAGAAGTTTATGACCTCTGTTTTGATCTCTTTGCTGAAACCTGCCATTTAATGTGGAAGAATTTAAGGAATTATAGTGTACTAGCTTTAAATTTACAAGGATACCCCTTGACCTTAGCTGGCCACAGACATACTTGCCTCAAAGCACTGGATCTTAACTGCTGATTCAGTTCAGAATTGTTGGAAGCAAGCATATCTGACTTCCCAGGCTGGTTAAACAGTTTAGACTGTGTCTCTGCTGTGGAAATAATGCCTGTTAAGCTGGTGTTCTGTATGGATGGACACAATAGAGATGAAAAAAGCAGGTAAAACATGAAAGGCAGTTTCTTATGCTTGCTTTTTCCCATTCTTCTGGCAAACCTAATGAATTAAAGAGCAAATGAAGTCAACTTCGACTTCTGCCTTTGCTTGAATCCCCATGATTTTAGCATATGTTGTGGTCAGAATATAACTTTTCAGTTTAGTTAGTGTTCTGAAATGTGGACGATAGTGTTTAATTTATATTTGGCAAACATTTTTGGAACTCCTGCTGTCTGTCAGGCATTCTGCTCACTAACAAATGTAAGGAGAAATATAAGTGAGAATGGTGGTGATGATTGTATTTTCTTTATCTTGGCACTGGACTAAGGATTCTGCACAGACTTTCAAGTTTAGTTTTCAATAACAGTTATGAAAAAATCACTTGTAATTAGCTCCACTTTACAAATAAGAAAAACTATGGATAACAGGTCAGATCTCAGAGTTATTAAATGATAAAGCCAAGTTTCTAATTCAATAGTTCTGCCTCCAAAGTCTTACCTCATGGCCTCCATAGTTAGGCATATATTTTTTTTAATTATTTGTGTGTGTGTGTCAAATCGGATCTGACTGTTACAGGAGGAGATTGCCTCCCCTTCTCCAGCAGAGCATCTGCTGGATTCAAACCACGTACCGTATTTTTTTAAATAGACTACAATACTTACCCTTAAGGAACTCATTCTCTATAATTTCCTCTGAGATTAAATTCTCACTTATGGAACAAGAAAGAGAGATGGGGGTGAGGGGGATTGCATTTTCACAAATCCCTTATGTCTCCTTTTATATTTTCTTAATTATCTTGGGGCCAGACTACAAATTAGCAGCTTCCTTAAGAGGTGTTGTATCACATACCATAACTAAGAGCAAAATGCCCTTGCTGGCTGTGTTTTTAAGGGTTATGAACATTGTTGTTACTGTTGTCAGTGAGTCAGAACCAAATCATACCTGAAACCAGAGGCTGTCGCACAGGCAGAGATTGCCCATCTTTCTTCCACAGAGCAGGGTAGATTCAAACCACGTGCCTTTGAGTTGGCAGTCACCTTCTTACCATGAAGCCACCAGAGCTCCATTAAATAGGGCATTAGGGTATTATTTTAATAACATGTTTCTACAAGTAGTCCTTAAATGTAAAAGACAATATAATTGTGGTTGCATATCATCAAATGGGAACTGACCCATACCGTACCCTCGAGGTGGTTTTCTGAAACTTTGTGCATTTTTCTCCCCCAGAATAGCTGGTGAATTAGAACCACATGTGTTGGAGATTGAATCATAGTTCTTACCACTAGACCACCAGAGTTCCCTGAATTGATATATACAATTATGTATCAGTATATTAGAGATTATATAAGCCCAGGATTTTGAGTCTGAACTTTCTTATCCATACTTCTATAAGGGACTAAAGAGAACTACACAGTTGTAAGTTTGTCAGGTTGCCAGGGGAGGTCATGGTGATGAAGGTGGACATTAGCACTACACTTACCATTTATTGAGTCAGAAACTGTCATGAGCCAGACCCTAAACTGTACTATCTAATCTAATCTAATCTTTATCATAACCACTTCAGGGATGAGAGTACTAAAGTGCAGAAGATGTGAGGACTTGCTAACTGACAGAAGCAGAATGTAAAACAAGGTCTTCTTTCTAACCATTGAGTTCAGTGCTCTTAATCAGGATATGTGCTGATTTTTGCATATACGCACCTATTCTTTTTTTCTCTGTCCTTCTTCCTTCTCTCTCTTTTTCTGTTTCTCCCTCTCTTACATGCACTTACTCATTCACGTACTCTGATCCTTATTCTCTTGAAGGTCTTACTCTTGTCTGAATTCTGTGCTATGAACTATCCAGTCTGCTCTGTTTATTAACATTCTTTTTGCCATATTTTTCTTATAGGAGTATCTAATGTTGTTTTGTGCCATCAAGTCAGAACCCGCTCTTAACTGCCCTTCTTAGCGACCTTCAGAGGCAGCAAATCACACTGGAGAAGATTGCCTATCTTTCTCCCACAGAGCAGCTGTTGGATTCAAACCGCATACCTCTGTGTTGGTAGCAGAATTCCTTAGCACCAAGACACCAGAGCTTCCTGTGAGAGTATCTAATACTATTAGAAAAATAAAAGGGAATGATAATAAAAAAGAACAGTATTATATTTAGGAGATTTTTAAATATTTGATTAAATATTTGATGATATGGTCTGAATATGTTAAATATTACCTTAGCTGCATCTCGATTTCACTTATTTTATCTGGTTGAAAAGTTGCCTGGTTTCTCGTTTTGAAGTCAGTACTTTTTAAGTGCTAAATGCATAGTAAAATCTGTGCTCTTCTGCTTTCAGATATGATTGGCTATTCGAATTTTCTTTGTGTAATTTTGTCATTCACTAATTATGTGCCTATAAATTTGCTTTTTTGTTTTAATTTCTCCCACATTACTTTTCTTCCTATTATTTCTCTATTTATTATACCTGCTAGACTTTATCAAAGACATCAGATTTTCTTTAAAACTCATTAATCTTTACCTTCCTTTGAGAAATTTCTGTTGTAATCATGATAGATTTGGGGAAAATGACCTTATGATATGGAATGTAAACCAAATAATATTAAAACCAATTCCTGTAACCCAGTCGTTCTTGCGAGTTTCGTGAGATTTCCATTATTTTTATCAAGATACTATGCTGTTGTAAGGAAGTTGGTGAATTTCAAGAGGAATTTTTATCACATTAAAGTAGACTTGAAAATAACTTACTGGCCTTCCTTGAATGCACTTTTTTTTAAGCACAAAGACGTATCTACATTAAAGAAATAATATCCTCCTATCTAAAGATGTATCTGTGCCCATTTCTCATGCCTCTCTGCGCTAATGATACTTCATAGTTTTATATTGTGGTAGATTTGAAGATATATGTAATAATAAGTACAGGGAGAACAGATTTGGTCAACAATTTATCATTGCTTCTGTTGTAGGATCATTTTAGAAAAAAAGAGTTAGCTAAACCAAGTTGAGGGGTGAGAGTGTGACTTCAGATTCCTTTGTGATTACTTCTTTCCATTTAGAAAAATTCTTTACCGAGATTTAAAAGTATACACAGCAGGAATTCCTACTAGTTTTCATGATCTGTGCTTCTCCTTTCCTCTTTGCTTCCCAAAGAATTAGACATGAAGTGGCAAGAAAGATGTGATGTAATAAAGAAAAAAATCAAGTGCCCTTGCCAGCAGATGTTGAAAAATTGATGAATCAAAGCTTTAAAATGGGCCTTTTTACTTTTGTGTGTGTGTGTGTGTGTGTGTATAAGAGAGAGAGAGAGAACATTATACAGGATAAAAGCATGCTCAGCCTAAAGGAAATAAAAGCATGTCTCAAACTCAAGTTCCCAGAACGTGATGTGCTCACCTCTTTGTGGTCATTGTTGGGTATTACAACACAAATGTTTCACTAACAACTTCTCGCATCCACATAAACATTTTGTGTAACTTACCTTTTTTTTCCTGGATCAAGACCTTGGTAGTTAAATGACCATTCTTAGTCTATTTTCTAAGATGCACTTGGAGATTTATAAAAATAATATTTATTTATTCACTATAAATTTAACATTTTCAATACTTAACCAGTTAAAAGTGGAATCAATTGGGGTATATTTTATAATGCTCTGTTCTCCAGTAGTGGCCAAGTGTATCAGATACAGAACTGTATCTAATCACAAGGAGGACCCGGCAGGACTTCTACTTCAGTTAATACAAGGTGCAACCCTTAAAAAATTACTCTAAAACTGTGCTAAATTTTCTATCTTCGCCTCCCTTAGGTTTTGTTAAGATTGAAACTTTTGATGTCTCAAGAGAGTATTGCTTAGTCTTCTTCAATACCAAGAACATCTGAAAAGCCTAGGAGAGGTTAGATATTACATTGGAATCGCTTCTCACTGAAGTATATTGCAATAATGTAAAGATCTTTTGTTAATTAATGCATTAATATGTATTAATTACGTTTTTAAAAACCTGTGTTTACCCATGTATGTAGTTAATGGTTTCCAGATGTTCAACGGTCCTTTCAAGCTGTGCTCTCTTAGTCCTCTTAATAGTACTGAGAGGAAGAAAGCCAGCAGTCTTTTGATGTTTATTTTATTGAAAGAGTCATATATACACCAAGCTATTACACCATTTGATGAAGATTATTGAGGGGGAAATAATCAACAGACTGCAGTGAAAGCAAGTCAGTCTCAAGAATGAGACAATCCTGCACCTACACCTCACAGTCCAGGCAAACATCTGGTTCACATAGCCATTCCTTTTCAGGCAAAGAGACGTAGAACCTATTTTTATAAACCAGTTACGTGTGTGTGTGTGTGTGTGTGTGTGTGTGTGTTTATGCATATATATAATAGAATTAATATATGCTTATTGTTTATTGTAAAAAAAATGTAAACAGCATGTATTAGTCCTCAAATGAAAGTTATACTCCCCCTTTGCCTTTTTCCATTTTTTTGTTTCTAGTGACAAAAAATAATTTAAAAGGAAAAGGCTTTGGAAGTGTATCGATGGATGAGTAAAATACACTAATCAGAGACCATTGTAGTTGTCTTAGTTTACAGATTTAGTCTTTACTTACTGTTTTTACTGTTGTTTCTTTAACTTTTTCCATTTTATCCCCCTCCCTAGTTCATCCCCATGCCTGTGTTGTATGGCGTGTTCCTGTATATGGGAGTAGCGTCCCTTAATGGTGTGCAGGTATGTTAAAATCTCAGCATAGTAGTATTCCTACATGTAAGAATTTTTTTTCCTAATAGGAATTGATCTTTGGGGGAAAACACTAATCATTTACTATGTACTTATAAAAATGCGTTTATTTTCTATACTTTTCACCATTCTTCTGCTTTTTATTGCTGATATAGTCCATAAAATCAGATAAAAATCAGATGGTGGCTTGTTATCATACATACTAAGTCTTGAGGTAGACTGTTAAAAGTGTTTGGCCAAGAAAACCAACAAACAAATCTAGGACTTCCTTCCTTCCTTCCTTCCTTCCTTCCTTCCTTCTTTCCTTCCTTCCTTCCTTCCTCTCTTTCTTTCCTTCCTTCCTCTCTTTCTTTCCTTCCTTCCTTCCTCTCTTTCTTTCTCCTTGTTTCAAAGAAGTAAGGTGACCCTTGCATTACTCTTCAAGATATTTTTTTCTTTATTCTATGATGAAAACAGGCTATTCTGGTATTATTTGTTTGCACATAATGACAGAAAGTTTTGCACCAATATGCCAAAAAAACACAACTCAAGTCAATATATGCTTTTTATTTGCTTTTGATGAAATTACCAGTTGCTCACAACTTGCTTAAAACCAACTCTTTTAAAAAGCCATTGGGGAAAACTTTGTAAGGGATTTCACCTCCCCCACCCCCCTCCCCCATCTGAGGTTTAATTTAATTGGCACCAGGAAATTGGAAGCACTTCTGCTGTTTTCTGGCACCTTGTTAATTGTAGCCTTATTTAGCACTTAGTAATGTTTTAATGGGAAAAGACTGCATGTTCTGTGAACGGTTATAAGAGTTCATTTGAACTTCTTCAATATAGTCCTTGCTTTCATTTATTGAATTTAGATTAACTTGGTTTTAGAGTCAGAGAGAACTGGGCAAGTAGCCAGACCCCCCCAAAAGAGAAAAGAGTATTTTATTTTCCCCTGTTTTGAATCCATTTACTGGAGTTTTTCACTATTTGAATATTTGTTAAAAACATACAAGGTAATTCTTTATATATTGAGCCCAATGACTGTGAATATGAGATTATCTGTCTGTCAAGTTTTTGGGAAGTATAACCTTTAAAATAGGTTTTCATAGCTTGGTATTTTAAATATTCATTATTATTTCATCAAAGGAAAAATGTGAAACCAAATGACAGTCAGGCAAATTGTACTTACTGTTATTTGGCCTTAATAAGTCTATCTAGATGAGAAGTTTGATTTTATTTTATATTCAGTGCAATAATACTTCAAACCCACTACTCCTGCTGAGAATTTGCATTTCTGCCACAGATAAACTAAATCGAAATCCATATTTTAACAAGATGTCAGGTGATTCTTATGAAGGTTCTTGTTAAAATGCAGACTTTTATTCATATACAGGCAGACATTGGGTTACAAATAGGATCCATCACTGTGTCTTTAAGAATGTGTAGGTCAGGGGAGCTCTGTGACCTTGTGCAAGAAACTGTGCTGCAATCCCGAAGATGCACGGCTTGAATCCACCAGATGCTCTGCTGGAGAAGGAAGGGCAATCTCCTCCTGTGCCAGTCAGATCAAATTCCACGGTACACAACAAGGAAAAGAAGCGGAAAAAAACCGAATGTGTAGGTCACACTAGGTACAGAACATGTTGGTTTAGTCTGATATTAGTGTAAGACGTTCTTGTGGTAATTGGTACTGTCAGGTTACTAGCCAAAAGGTTAGTGATTGGAATCCACCAGTCCCTCCACAGGACACAGAAGAATAATCTCCTTATGTAAAGATTTGCCTCAGAAACTTGACAGAAGGTTGCTGTGAGTTGGAATCAACAGGATAGCAACCAGATTTTTGTTATTGTTTTGTTTTGCGGTTTTGTTTTGTTTTTTTATTTTAGTCCAAGAAAAGGCTTGAAGCCATATCAATTATTTAAAAGCTTAATGTGCAGCCAGTCAAAAAAAAAGGAAATGATTGTGATGAATAATTTGTACACAATTTGGTTTAATCTTCTCAAAGTGAAGGCTTATTTATATAGTGTTAGAGCAGGTCGTCAAAGATGGTGGTCCCTCAGTAAAAGATGGCAACACCCTGCTCAAAGCTGTGACTGTGACAATGGCCAACAGTGACTGTGGTAATGGAACAGGTGTAGCAGAGACAGTGAGATTGACTCAGGCTAGAGTGGTTGTACACAAGGGTTGCTGAGTCATAGTGGAGTCAACAACAACACTATTTTGACTGTCTGTAGCTCTCCACTGTCCTGCCATTAGTCCTTGAAAGGGTCATTAGGCTTCTTCCAAATCCCCCATTCACAGGCTTTAATTACCATACCCTCCTGATTACCATAACAAATCACTAAAATTATAATAGTCCTGGTCTGTTCCTGTTTCATTTCCTCCACTAAGACTGAATAAGCCCTGCATTTAAAGGGAAAGTAGGAGTTGTCAGAATGTCATAGGTTTATAACCTGAGAACTGTTTGTATGTAGAGCGGAAATGTAAATTCTCAACGAAGGACTAAACCAGAAGTAATACATTTGAAGATCTGAGTCGCTATTCCTTACCTATCGTTGGTGCTCCACATATGTTTATTAAATGAAAAAGGGGGTGGAATAAACGATTTCCTTTTTTAAAATTGCTTTAGGATAGTTAATGGGTTTCTTAAAATTTCTAGGGCTGTTTCCTCTATAACGGGTTCTGGTGGCTTAGTCCATAGAGTTTAGTGCTGCTAACACCAAGGTCAAACCTCTCTTGAGGTTCAAAACCACCATTAGTTCCAAGGGAGAAAGATGGGCAGTCTTCTCTGTGATGTATAGTCTCAGAAATCCAGTGGAGGTAGGCCAGCTCCAAATAGGTTCTGAGGACAGCAGTGAGTTTTTGAGAGTTGCCTTTATTTGCTGCTGCTTTCATCATACCTTCCTGCTGATTCTCTTTTACATTTTTTATGGGACATGATTTGATTTAGCAGAAAAATTTGTAACACAGACTATAAATTGGAAGACCCAGACTAGTTAAAAATAGCACTTGAAGGAGGACAGTTTATCAAATCTAATAGAACATAGTCTGTTTAGTTTACTTTTCTGTTTTCCCCACCTACCAGAGAGAGATTATCTCCAAGTTCCCATAGATTTCCTGCCTTGTGCTTGTTCAGTTCAACAACTGTTTACAGATCCTATGCCATCTGAAAGATAGGCTCATAATTATTATCTCCTTCAATAGTATAAACACAATTCACAAGTTATTCTTTGAAGCACAGTGCTTGGCACAGAGGTGCTCAATGGCCCTTTTCATAGTTGTCTAAATATGATTGTGTGATTATCCTTTGGATTAATGGATGGATGGATAGATAGATAGATAGATAGATAGATAGATAGATAGATAGATAGATAGATATCTGATTACCTATACTTTGCAGCTAACTACCTTTTTTCACATGACTTTTCACTAAAAAGAAATGCTAATACATTTTTCAATTTGGTAGTTTTGTCATGGATGTGAAACTCAATTATAGGAAAATGTCAATACATTCTGAATTTCAAGTTGGAAGTTTCATATCTCCAAAACATCCCTTAAATGTTTCTGATGTATTGTAGCAAATCTTTGAGATAAAACAACTGATGTGCAGTAGAAGGAATTAGGTATCTTCAATGTATCATTACTAAAATTGGCACAAAGCCTCTATTCTGAGATGCATGATGAAAATGGAAAGCCAGAGGTGAGTATCTAGAATTTTGTTATTTTGTTGCTTGACACGTTCATTCTTAAGATTTTATCTCTTGTGCCTGCATAACATCCTTGTGAAATAAAAACAAAAATTGAAAGACTTGTCCCATGTTTCTACTCTTTCACTGGTGTTTTGCCCCTTGGAAAGGACACTGCTTGCCTAGATGATAGAGTATAACTTATTAGCGGTTAGTGAGACAGAGTGGAAATGACTTTGTACTTCCTGAAGTAATATATTCGCTTTCCTTTTCCTCCCCAGTTCATGGATCGCCTGAAGCTGCTTCTGATGCCCCTGAAGCATCAACCTGACTTTATCTACCTGCGGCATGTCCCCTTGCGCAGAGTCCACCTGTTCACGTTCCTGCAGGTGCTGTGTCTGGCGCTGCTCTGGATACTCAAGTCAACTGTAGCTGCTATCATTTTTCCAGTCATGGTAGGAGTTTCTTTCACTAAATCTGCTATGACATACTACAGTTGTCACTCGATTTTTGCAATATTGAGTACACAATTGTGATTCCAATTTTTTCCCCACCTTAACCTGACCCACTGATTGTAATACAAGGCTACCAGGACTTTGGTAGTCTTGGCAGTACCTTTTTAAAAAAATTTGATTTTATATTGGTTTGCTTACAAAGTTAGTATACATTGTGTTTCACTCTATTCTCCATTCACATTGTATTTCATACAATCATTCCCATGCATGATGTTTTATAAAATTAATCACCATTGGACTGTGCCCACTCTGTCTTTCCAAGTCGCTGCAGGATCTTTCCCATTTCCTTTACCCCCTCCCTCCATCAACCAAATTGTGCAGCCCTGTGATTTTACCCCTACTCATCCTTACCCTTCTGCTCCACTCCTACCCTCCTTCAGTCCCCATACATGTTTTACTAGTTGTCCTTCTATTTTATAATAATGGCCTTGTGCAATATTTGTCCTTATGAGACTGTGTTAGTTCTCTCACCATAATGCTCTCCAGTCTCTCCCAAGCTGTGTGGTGTTTTCTGAAATTATTGTTCCTGAGTGCTGCCTAGTATTCCATTGTGCAAATGTACTAAAATTTCTCAATTCATTCAGCTGTGATTGGACATTTAGGCTGTTTCCATGTTCTTGTGATGCTGAATAACCAGCACTGCTGTGAACATTGGCGTACAGTCTCTGTGTCTTCTAATTTCCTTTGGGTATATATTCCTAGTAGTGGAATAGCTGGGTCATATGGATTTTCTTTGTTAAATTTTTTGAGGAAATACCAAACTTTGGCAGGATCTTTGGGTCCAATTCACATGAGTTCAAATTCTAGCCTTGGTTCGGGCTGATCACTGAGCCTCCTTGAGCTGCTGTTTATTCCTCATTTGATGAGGATGGCACTGTGATTACTGTTCTGAAACATCTGTGATGAATATGAAGTGTCTAATGCAATGCCAAGGACCTTAACTTTGGAAAGTGTTTTAACGAACTGTCTATTGTACAGCTTTTTAACACCCAAGACACTACAAATTTTGAATAGTTAGAAATCCTATATAGGTTACCCTTTAATTTTAATTAAATTTTAAATAAATCCCTTTGATTTTATAGATTGCTCTTTCATTCTTAGTTAGAACTGACAAATAGCTCACCCTCCATTGGGTTTCTGAAGCGATAAGTTGCTCCAGAGCAGAATGCCTGTCCATCTCCCTTGAAGCCAGTAGTGAATTCAAACCATCGGAGCATGACCTTTGGGTTAGCAGCTCTACTACTCCCTGAGGGCAATCTGACATAGAATGAGATAGGTTAAAAAATAATCCTTACATTTTAATTGAATGAGATTATACTTTTCAATGAACAAAAAGTTAATTTTAACTAATACTTTTATTAACTAAGAAACAATGCTAGTACAAAGATTGAGCATAGGAATGATAACTGCTGTGTCAACTGTTGGAACCTCAAAGACTATGCAATGTCAGAATCAACTCAAGAGTAGTCATTCTGGGTTTTCTACGAACCAGCTGCCTCTATGAAAAATAAAGTTTATAGTCCACTCAATGTAAGTTGCGTAAGCGAAGGATTTCTGTCCTACTCACTCTGACCTTAAATACTTTCTACTGATTTTGACGTGACTGTATCAATACTCATAACAGCTGTATATTACATGGTATTATTCCATACTTTTAAAATTTGTTTTTCTAGATCTTGGCCCTTGTAGCTGTCAGAAAAGGCATGGACTACCTCTTCTCCCAGCATGACCTCAGCTTCCTTGATGATGTCATTCCAGAAAAAGACAAGAAAAAGAAGGAGGATGAAAAGAAAAAGAAAAAGAAGAAAGGAAGTCTGGACAGTGACAATGATGATGTAAGTTACTTCCCAAAATCCCAAAGTAAAGTTAGTTAAAGAAACAAGTTTGGGGGTGGGGGGAATATATATATATGTTTGTATGTGTGTATGTATGTGTATGTGTATATATATATATGTTTGTATGTATATATATGTTTATGTGTATGTGTGTATATATATATATATGTATGTATATATATGTATGTATATGTTGTGTATGAGATGATAAACTGAGATCTAAGAGTGTCTATCTGGATGTGTAGTATGTTACTTATTTAACCTTTCCTGTTACATTTTACTTTTCTCTCTGCTGTTTTGTATCTTCTCAAATATCTCTGTAATCATTAAGAAACTCATAGTGACACAAAAATGCTCAACACCTTTACAGAAGTATAATAAGGGAAATTTGTTTACTTATGATATAAACGAGAACTCTGGTGGCCTTGTGGAAAGAAGCTGTGTTGGATCCTGAAAGCACGCAGTTTTTACGTAGGATCGACTCTGCGGGAGAAGGATGAGCAGTCTCCTCCCATTTGATTGACTGAAAACCTGCCAGAGGATCACCTGTGGGTGGGTTCTGGCTCAGTGGTACACAGCAACAGCAACAATGGTACAAAATATACTTGTTTACTATTGATAAACCAGGCTTTACATTTGAGGCAGTAATTGTTGATTTTACCTACTTTTAAGCATAATGTGATGTTATATCTCATTCACATGATCTATTTGAAATGATCCTGAACCAAAGTTCTTAAAATGATGCTAAAATAACATCAGTTAGGGTATTTCTCACTAACCCTTCTTTAACAAGGAAAAGGATTTAGAACTTTACATAATTGTAGTGTTCAGTGTCATAGTCCAGCTGGTCCTCTTGCAATTGGATGCTTAAGTGAAAAAATAGCATTATTGCCCATTTGTTTTCTTCAAAAGACTGTTTTGCAGAAACACAGATGCTTCAGTAGGGGTCTATAATCAGTGTTAGAAGAAAACTTGGTGTTTGTTTTCCTGAAAACATACATATACAACTTATTTAGTAACCTTTTGAAAATACTGCCAAAATGACATTTTTCAGGTAAAGCTTTGTTCATTCTGGACTTTAAGCAGTTTACTGTTACAAATTATTATTATTATTTTGTCATTTCCTATTCTAAGTTGGAAGTATAATTCTTTTTAAAAGGTATCTACTTAGTATTAGATGGTATTGGTTGACAGTACATAACTGTTCCTTGATTATTATGACAACAATTCCAAGTACCTAATTTTGTTCTTACATGGAGCTTACATGGAGAAATGTTAGGTTATTTTTTTCCAAGTGTAACTAACTAACGATTGCAAAGCTAAAATCCTAATCTATGCATGTCTGGTTATTTCCAGGTAATCAGGCTGTCTGGTTATGTTCTTTTTTGAAAACTTGGAAATACTGCAGAGAAGGAAGCAACAGCCAGACTTAGATTTCAGATCAATTGATCTAATTTTTTTTAAAAGGCTAAATATACGAGGTACATTTATCTAAATAGTCTGAGGGAGATTTGGATGACTGTCGTGAAAACAAGTATATTGATTTTCTGTTTTAAATAATGACAGAAAGAAAGAAAATGTGTTTAAATTGCCAAGATTAAGACATAGTATTAAGAAAAATGTCATGTTTTCATATTTGGATAGACATAAAAATCTGAAATACATTTCTGAACTTTCTAAGGTTTTTGGTTCTTTTTTAAATTTTATTATTTTGTGTGCGTGTGTGCGTGTGTGCCATCAAATCAGATCTGACTGGTACAGGAGGAGATTGTTCCTCCTTCTCCAGCAGAGCATCTGGTGAACTATCTAAGTTTTTTAAAATAATGGTTGCCTGAAATAATTAAGAAAATATAATGTTTGATCTTGAGTTTTCAAAATGAGTATTTCAACTTTTATATGTGGACACTCAAAATACATAACATATTTAGAATGTATAAATAATCTGGAATTCTTTAATAATTTTTGAGACAAACAATAATGAAATGTCTACTTTGGGGAATGTTTTAAATTTCATGTTCCTTGTTGCCAACTGCTAGATCCTATGAGCTCCTGAAAATTCGCTTCCATTATTTAAAATCTGGTTTTCAACAAATCATATTTAACTTAAACACCACTGTTCTTTTTTAAATTGTGTTTACTATCTTCAGCTCCATATTTTTGAAGATAATTCCATGTGTTCTTTCTTCCCATAATTCTCAAAGTGAACAGACTTACACATGTCTTCTAGTGAATCCAGTAGCAAGTTCTATTTACTGATTTCATTATTTGGGTTTTTATATTTGGAAGGTGGCTTTTCTGATATACACAGGTATTCTCATGAGGTGAGCTGTATGAATCCAGGGAGTGCTAGGGGAACATGAAGCACTAATAGTTTAAATAGCTGCTATGGTGGTATTTAGTTGGCCTAGTGGTAAGAAGTTGCACTGAAATCCCAAAGGCTTGCAGATTGAATCCACCAGATGCTCCAAGGGAGAAGGATGGGCAATCTCCTCCCATGTCATTTACTGCCTCTGAAAACCTGCTGGAGGATCAGCTCTGGGCCGCTTCCAGCTCGAGGGCACACAGCAACAACAACAATGGAAATTATGACTTGCCAGTATTTTGAGCCGTTCAGTCACCTGACAGTCCATGACTGAAGGTTGACTATCACCATATCATCTACATATATATTATTTTGGGAAATGTTAGAAATAGTGTAATAGGACTTTTACCTCTTAGCAATCTCATAAAGGTAGGCACAAGTGACATCCCTTTTTTCTTTTTCATTTTGAGTATATATTTTAATCTATTTTTTCTCATTTTCCTCTTTAAACACACATATAAAGGAATTTTCCATGTGGGTTGTATTGTTGTGGACCGTTGAGTCCGAACCAACCCATACTTGACCCATCCAGTGGGTTTTCAGAGGCAGTTACCCACAGGGGAGAAGATTGCTCATCCGTCTCCTGCGGAGCGGCTGGTGGCCTCGAACCATGTGCCTTTGGGATTTTAGTGCAGTTTCTTGCCAGTAGGCCACCAGGCTTTTTTTTTTTCTTATAAAAATAATTCTTTTCATTCAAACCTAGCTCTCATGTGTTTGGGTATTTTTTTAAAATAATTATAGTTTTTAAAATAAATTATATCAAATAAATGTGATACGTCCAAACATAGATTTAGATTTAAGATCATGAATTATAAAACTAATTAAATAATAAAGCCAAAGTAAAGTAATAATCCTGTAATGATCCAGTACAGTCTTATATAGGTATCCTGTTTTTTGTTTGTTTCTTTGTTTTTTAAGCAGCCCTTCATTAATTGTCTGGTTTTATGCCATTTTCTTCTAATAATAGTTCTGTGTTTGTCTGACCACACCGAAGGCAGACTTCTTTTTATATTTTGCTTGGGATTTCAGACATCTTAATATAAACAAATTGAAATGGTTCTTTAACTATAAAATAGTGTTTAATAGAATATTAGAGTACAGATGGAAAGATTATTTTCAAGTGATGTGGAAGACCTCACGAGAGTAAATGTTGGAAAAAATTTCCACTTGTCTTGGGAGGAAAGCTAGGAGTCATGATTTTCCTGGGATTAGAGTCAAAGAACATGAAAAAAAAAATCCATCCTACTTCAGCAGTATGCTGTAGATGATTTAAGTTTCTTAAAAGCTTTCTAAAACATGATTTAATCTGTTTTCACATTCAGATTAATTTCTTCATACCTGGAATAAACCAATGATATTTGTTGATCAGGAATCCAGTTTATAGAAAGCTTTATGGTTGTCTTAAATAACAGTGATCTCCAATTGATGTGGTCTGGTTTTCAAAAATTCAGTCTTATTAACTCGAAGTGGGATGAAAATAAACAAAAAGATTTTTGTATAGAATACAAAAGTTAGTGACGATCAAAGGGGTATCTTTAAGTCTTTTTGTATTAGTGTTATGTGCACGAGAATATGGTATGTTTAGCCTATTCTTGTAGATTAGGAGAGATCTTTAATAAAATATTCTAAACACTTGCACATTTTTCTTCACAGTCTGACTGCCCATACTCAGAAAAAGTTCCAAGTATTAAAATTCCAATGGACATCATGGAACAGCAACCTTTCCTAAGTGATAGCAAACCTTCCGACAGTGAGTAGAACTAACATCTTGCATGTCTGCTTGAATATGATTTGCAGTTGCAGAGAAAACACTGAAACTATCGCCTACTTTAGTTTCTCATGTTTTCTCTTTTTTTCTGTGTGGTTATTTACACTTCACTATAGAGCCTGTGTATCACTGTTAAATTTTTCATTTCATCCACAACTTTAAGTTTGTATTTGATAGTATTCTCTCTGACCCAGTCATCACAGGTTTCTTGCCATTCCTCACCTTGCTGCCTTGTTTTTATTTCATTCATCTTTCTGTGCTAGTGTTTAAATTGTGGCTTCTTGTCCTACATCACTGTCAGTTACTGTTTGTCTTCCTTAGGTTTCCTCCAAAGGCCAAATCAGCTCAAAAGAGAAAACTTGCCTTATGGGTCGGTCACTCAGTTATCAATAAATCAATCGCTAATATTGAGAATTTGAAATACCTATTAAATTTTATTAAATTGACAATCATGAACTAGTAGCACACCTTTTTAGGCATAATATATAAGACGTGCATTTTCCCTCTAAACTATTCAATCTTCTTTTGAAAACTATTCTGCTCTTTTTAGGTTAATAACTTGTGGCTAAGCTGTAGGATTTGTAACATACCAACTTTTCTGTTGTGGTTGCATTAACAGGCACTTCTAAAGGAGAAACCTTGTAACACTCGTGAATATCTTCCGTTTTTCCAGTAACAACTAACGATTAACCTCCAAGCATTTGATCACTTTGAGGCTCAAATCCAAATGTGCTTCAGTGTATATATACTGCTCTCTTCTGGTAGAAGGAGACAGTTGAAGCTTTTTTTTTAACTTTTATTTGACATTACCTCTTCAAATTCAGTAAGAGGAGATCCAGAAAAGTTTGAAATTAATGACTATGGAGAAAA